TGGATTGGGTGACCCACAGAGGTCCCTTCCAACCCCTACCATGCTGGGATTCTGTGATTCTGTGACCTGCCGAGGTTTGCACGTGCCCATCGCCGTCCCGTCAGGACATCGCTGCCGCTGCTGCCCCGGGCAGTGCAGCCTGCAGTGCCAGCACTGCAGGAGAAGCCATGGTCTCCACTGGCGAGGCCGCTGTGCCTTGGAGGGTCTTTTCCTCCTCCTTTCCCTTTTAAGGCAGCGTTTTCCTCCCTCCCAGCCGTACCAAAGAAAGGAAACAACTTGAAAGTGACAATTTTCGGCTATTTATCGCTTAGAAAGCACGGCAGCGAGTTTGGAGAAAATGTGCATAATTTTCCAACAATAGCCCCATTTGACTTTTGTGAAAGTAATTTAATAACTTAACCATCACTCCTGGCACCACGCTGGTTCCTGGCCTTAGCACCTAGGCTAATGGGACTCGAAGTGGGAAATCTTTTCAAATCATCGTTGCGAGTGACTCATTACAAGGCAGATTCCAGGTAAATCTTTGTGCAAGCTGATACGTGACTCAGAGGCGCACAGTAAAAGGTAGTTACTGCTCTTTGTAAGAGCGCCTGAGAGGAAACAATGTGTTTTTGAGATTAGAGACGGATCTCTTGACACGTTCCCGAGCCTTACGCTCCAAGCCCCATCTCTTGTTCTGCTGCCGGGGGGGGCTACGGAGCTGACGGGAGCTGTGAGCAGGGAGGGGTGAAATGCCAGGGGCACAGAAGTGCCAGGGCGATGTTACGCACAGGATGGGGGTGCTTGGGGTCGGGGGCCGTGGGGGGAAGGACTTGGCGTGGGGGTTATGGTGTAGACCATGGATTTGGCATCTGGAGGGAGTGTGCTGGAACCTAGACCTTGGTTGAGCCTGGGATGAGCCTTGGTGTCTCGGCATGGCATTGAGAGTGGCATCAAGTTGTAAACCTCGTCGCTGGGTGGGGGATGGGACACCTCACCGCTTGATTGCGAGTGAAGGCTGGGGAATGCTGAGGTTCCTGGTGACTGTGGCACCTTTTCCTGCCAAGGAGGGATGGGTGTGCTCGGACGTGCGGCTCGTGGGATGCAGTTCCCCTGTGTCCCTTGTCTCGCCGGCATCTGAATACTGTGCTGCTGTGGAGAGAGACAAGTCAAGGAATGCCCAGGAGGAAGCCTTTGGGCACGAGCGTGAGAGCCGTGCCCGGCGGGGACGTGCTGGGATGGGACCGTGGAAGTCTCCCGGTGCTCCTGGCCCTGGCCGTGTTTGTCCGGCGAAGGCCTGGAGGGGACGATCCTCTCCCCAGCTCTAGAAACAACCTCTCGGCAGCACCTTCGTCTGCAGCGGTGCATGGACGCTGGTGCATCCAGCTCGCTCCAAGCCGTTGGTGACAGATCTGAGAGTGATCCTTTCCGTGTAATAATTAACCTGTCCTGCTGCACTGCCAGCGCTTTGCTTTCACCGACCATGACCTCCTTTCTTTTACCACTGGTGGCTTAAATAACAACAAACATGCACGGTGTTTTGGGATGGTCCCCAGCTGCCCCGGGGGTGGCAGAGCCAGGGACACGGGCGACGTAAGCCAGCGAGCAGGGTGCCAGCGAGGTGCCTGGCCCCAGGGGAGCAGAGCTGAGCCAGAGCCATGGGTGAGAGGGTGAGGAGGGAGCAGGTCCAGTCCTGCGGATCCACCCATCAGCCAGGGTTTTCCCTTAAAATCCAGCTTCCCAGTCGCTCGCTCTCCAGGCTTTTGGGCGTGTGGTTTTGTGTCTGGGTGGGGGTTAGGAACAGTCATCGTGCGGGACGAGCAGAGGCCCCCAGAGCATCCCTTGCTTAGCAGGCTCTGGATCCGGGGATCCCAGCGCAGCTCTCCCAGCCCTGGGATCGTCTCCCCCTCGGAGGAACGAGGGCGTTCTCCTCCCATGGGAGGGGGTGGAGGCGGCGATATGGGAAGCGAGAATCTCGGGCTGATCCTTATTTTTATTTCTTCCCTTTTCTCAGCTGCAGTAAATAACAGCTCCGACACCGAGAGCATTCCCTCGCCAAGGCCCGAAGCCAAAGAAGGAGGCGAAAACGTGGCCAAGGCACCACCCGGGCCGGGAGGTGACTCCGGCGCAGAACCGGCAGTCAAGTTGGAAGAGGCTCCAACACCCCCCGACGCTGCCGCCGCTCCCCCCACCCACCCCCCTCCCGCCGCCCGCCCCTGGTGGTGGACGTGGTGAAAACGGAGGAGCCGGAGGAGAAGGTGAGCGAGGAGCCCTGCAAGAGCGAGGTGAAGAAGGAGGAGAGCGAAGACAGCCAGGAGAAGGAGAAGGGGAATGACAAGAAGGCGGAAAGCGGCGTCAGCGGCGCAGGGACAGCGGGGATGGAGGGGACGCCCAAGGCCGAGAAGAAGGAGAGCCATAAAGGCAGTAAAGGCGCCGGGGTGAACCCCGACAGCGACTCCAGCGCAACCTGCAGTGCAGACGAGATGGATGAGCAGGATGCCGTGGACAAGAGCAGGTAGGAGCAAGGGCGAGAGAGGTGGGCAAGGGCATGGCCCTCGGGCCAGACGAGCATCTCCGTTCTCTGCTGCGGTGCCTACCTGCGCTTTCACGACCTCCTCCTTGGGAATGTCACTGCTCAGGCACTCCCACGGGCAAAGGGCCGTGCCCGGCTGTGTCCCCGCGCGGCTGTGACCCTTTGGCCATCGCTTGCAAAGAGGCCGTGACACCACGGGCAGTGCGATGTCCCCACGTACGGGTGCTGCGGGGGCAATGGCCACGGGCAGGTGTTGGGTGCAGAGCCGCTGTGTCTGCCGGTGGCAGCCCATCTGGGTGATGCAACGGAGCGGGACGTGCCCTCGGGGACAGCGGGGTTGTGCAGAGGCACAGGCTGGTGTGCCTACATCCAGGGTCGGGAACAGTCCCTGTCTGAGTGGGCGCTGGCAGGAGAGAAGTCACGTCAGGGGCTTGTTCCCAGCACAGAGAGGGGGCAAGCTGCTCCCTCGGCAGAGACGCTGCTTGGATTTGTAGGGGTGAATTATCCACCCTGGCCACGAAGGTGGGAGAACAGTGTGGGCTGTGCGAGCTTTCCAGGGGCCACGCCAGGTTTTCAGTTGAGCTGCTGCCGTCCCAAGCCCTCCACCCGCCCCTGGGGCCAGCAGCCAAGGGCACCTCGGACCCTTCATGGGTGGGCTCTTGGACACGGAGGGGAGGCGCTGGCCTCCTCCTTGGAGAAACGTCCTGGTCCCCTCCCGGCTTTTCCCACAGAGCTCTCCCCACCCAAGAGCCTCAGAAATGGGGAGAGGGTTTCCTGTTTTTTAAAGAGTATGTATGAATACATGCAGGCTGCCCAGGGAGGTTGTGGAGTCTCCTTCTCTGGAGATATTCAAGACCCACCTGGACAAGGTCCTGTGCAGCCTGCTCTGGGCGACCCTGCTTCGGCAGGGGGTTGGACTGGGTGACCCACAGAGGTCCCTTCCAACCCTGAACATTCTGTGATTCTGTGATTCTGTCTTCGTAGCGCTGATTTCTCTAATGGCTCCTGCTTCCGTCCATGCTGGCTTCTGGGCCAGGTGGGACTTCTGAGTCCACCCTGCCATGGCACGTAGGGATAGCCATCCCTCCCCACCTCGGAGCTGGGCTGGGACTGGAGGCTGGCGTCCCACATCCAACATCCTGCATCCAGCATCCCACATCCCTCCCGTGGGCTCGCAGGGAGCAGTTGGACAGCGAGATGGGTGCTGCCAGGCCGGGCGGGCTGTACGCAGCGCTGTGGACGGGTGTATTTAAAAAGAGAACCGAGCAAGCAGCGGGACGAGGCGGTAGGGAGAGCTCCACCACTCCTGATGGCCTCCGCGCTTGTCTTGTGAGGGATGCAGGAGCTGGTGGGTGAGTGCTGCTCCTGCGGGAGCATCCTCCGCGCTGCCCCGCTCGCAGCCCCGCTCGCTGCCGAGGGGGTGGAAGCAGCGCTGACGATGCTGAGGGGTGGTGCGGATGCCGCTGGCCCCGGCCCCGTGGCAGGGCTGAGGCCTCTTGGCTGCGATGCTCCTCTCACGGAGTCCAGCACCACCCCTCCCCACCCTCTCCTCCTTCCCAGACGGGAGAAAACCTCCCGGCAAGGGAGAGCGAGGCCAGCGGGGCTGCGCTCCTCAAGTTTAACATTAACCCAACCGAAAACAGGACAGCAGCGGCTTGTCCCCAACTTCCCAGCAGCACAGGAGCAAGTCGTCTTGGGAACGGCTGTTTCATCCCCAGCTCCTCGCTGAGTCAGCGCCTATCGTGCTTGTCAAACAGTTACCAGCTTCCAGCGATATTAAACATTAAACAGGCGTCCTGCAGGTCCCGAG